CCTCTTCATCACTGATTGACTGTTGCTCTACTGCCCTCCTTCCAAGTCAAAAATAAACCGGGAAAGGAACTCCTTCCTGCAAGAGAGGATCCCAAATGATAGACTGTATTCAGAGACTGCTGTAGCTGGCTGTCTTCTACAATGTTGATGTTAGCTACACAGAGGAATATGTGTGCCAACGGGCTTTACTTCAGGCTTTTCATTTCCAAATCCATTTTATTTCAAGGATAAAAAGAAAAAAAAATAAACTAAATTTCAGAACATGTGAATCAGGGGGCTACACTGCTATATACATTGCACACTGTCATCCCCAGATCATGCACCCAGAGCACAAGACATCTGTATTCAATTTTCAGAAAAATACTGTTATGGGAAGCTGAGTTAGTTAAATACTATTGGCAGTGAGAGAGGTCTAGATCCTCCAAGGTGTCCATGCAGAAACATAGATACCTTGCACCTATGTATAAGATGGATGTGATAGTTTGGACTCTGGAATAAAACCCAAGATGCAAGAAATTAAAATTTAGGGAGCAAAGGCTTTATTTTAGGCCAGGCCTGGCAATGCAATCTCCAGGAGCCAATTTGGTGACTACCAGCCTGACAGCTAAAAAGGTTGGGTTTTAAAGCCAAAAACCACAGGAATGTTGCAAACTTTGACCCAGTTTGATAACATCCTTGTAGTTAAACTTTTCTAAAAGACAGCACATTGTATTGCAGATAGGGTGAAGGGGGTTGGGGGTATTACAAGAAACTGAAATTTAAAGTTTACTTAGTCTAAAAAGAATAGAGGGGAGGGAGATTTACAAGGAGCTGAAACATAAGTCTTTACTGGAGATGGAATTTTAATCTCTATTGAAATGGCGCATACATAACAGAAAGGAGGTCCATTGGTTAGAACTAGGTTACAACAATGGACAGCTCCTGCTATGGGCCAAGCCTCAAGACAGAAAATCAACAAGTTCATACATACTCTAAGGACTGATATTCTAAATAGTTCCCTAGCACTCTGAGGAAGTCAGGAGTCACCATTCAAATAAATGTCTCCGTATCCTAAGGACTGATATTGTAATTAGTTCCTATCAAGAGTCACCCTCCCAAACTCCTAAGGGAAAATTCACTGCTGCCTAAGAATTCCTGCTTTCTAAGTGACTCCCTTCCCCATTTGTTCCCAATTTAATTAACTTTACCTGGACTATTTATCTTATTGACAAGCATAGATCTGTCCCATCTTATGCCCATATGCATTTTGAGTTCCCAGTTTTCTCCAACTTAAACCCATCTCACAACATGATTTTTCTCTATAAAAGTCCTTGGAAAAGACAGTCTTTGCCAACCCACTCAGGATGAATTTGCTCTCTCCCACAGCTGTCTTTCTCCAAATAAGTATATTATCTTGACTTTTGTTGTTCCTAAAATTCATTTTTTGACTTTAGATAACACAAACACATAGCATCATAGTAGACCAGGTGTTTCATTCCCCTATAGCAATACCACTATAAATTTTTCTTTTCTTGAAGTTAGAGAAATCAGTAGATGATTGTATTCTTAAATGTTGATCTCACCTCTTAAGGGACACTGGCACTGATGGCTTTATCCTTGCCTTTAAGTGCTGCTTCTGTTTTTTGAAAGTGAACTGATCTGTAGTTTTGTTTACTTGTACAATGCATTAAGGAAATGACTAAAAACTTTTCTTGTGAATTGTTTACCACTAACTGTGGAAGAAGACACATAGCAAAAATTCTTTATTTTCATTTTGGAATTCAAACTGAAGGATGTACTTTAAAGAGTTTTGCCCTAGAATAACTTACAGGACATCATGATGGTGTTCATCAGGGTTAAAGTTCAAATCAGCCATGCTTACCTATATGGCTACTTCCTCTTTTTTTCCCTGAATGCAACTTCCTCATTCCTTTCCCAGGGGCCCGAAGAAAATTCCTATCAGCTCCTTGCATGACATCAATATCAGTGCCAGGCACAACATAGAGCAAAATTTCACATAAACCCCATAATCCCATAATCAATCAGAAAAAAAGGCAAACCCTTGGTGGCTGTAGGCTCCACTCCACATTCTTTAAATAGAAAGGGCACCTTTACATTTTCTTATATTCTGATTCTCTATTGGGCCACAAAATCCTAACTGATAAGATTATAATATGTCCAAAAGATGAGAAGTATAAAACAAAAGAGGCCTTTATTCTGAGAATGTGAAGAGAGAAAACAAAAAATTCCAGACCACTGGAGTCTGGGTTTCTCTCTCATGGACTCGTGGCATGGGGGCATATAAGCATCCTAGGTTTGGGGTGGAACCTGAGGGGGCATTAGAGATGCACAAGTAGTCCATTGGTCTTTGTTTGGCACCATAGGTAAATTCCTAGGTGCAGGGAATTTGGAGTCACAGGTAAATTCCTAGCAGTAGTGGAGATAGGAGCTCCTTGGTGCTGCCTCACTGGCTACAGTGTCCTGTCTCAGCCAAAACTCTTTCAGTAACAGTACTGATTCTTGTGTATCTATGAAGCTAATTTATCTCTTCAGTAATTCTCATGTTAAATGCCACGAGGACCCAATGAAAATTAATGAAGTGGGCTGTTGCTTCACTCTATCAGTGTCAATGCAGTAAGTTTAATCCTAAGATAAAAAATAAATCTTCATATAAATTTCAAAACACAAATATGCATCAAAATACAGCCAAGGTCCTAGAGACCTACAGACTGCTTTCAACAATATAATAGAAGCCTTCTAGAAAGTGACAAAAATACACAGTTTTTCTAATGAAAAATTTTTCTAGCAGCCAATAATGTAGAAATCTTTCTAAACAATTATAGGTGAATCTTCTCTTTAATAAGATATAACCTACTGCAATGCCAATAGTTCTGGCTAAATAATACACTCAAACCAATTATTTTACATTTATAATGACTGATGTATACAATTTTAGATATTGCCAGGACTACAAGCACTGTGATTTGTATTAATCACTTAAAACTGCAGGAGAAGGAGCAAATTTCAGATCTTATATAGTACAGTAATGTTAATTTGGCTCATGTTAATTGTATAGGGTAATGAAACTCCTTACCTACTACATGTCCGGTATGAGTTTGTGTTCTTTAAATTTAAAGAATGAATTTTAGGAATGATGGAGTTTAAGAATGGAACATATTTATTGGGAGAAGGAAAGCTTCTGAGAGACAGAAGAGGTCTTGAGTGGGTTGCCAAAGACACTGGCCTTTTGAGAAGCTTGTGCAGAGTTAAACCATGAGGTCATATGGGTCCCAGAAGGGGAAAAATAGGAATTTTCAAGATTAGCATAAGGCGGGATAAGACTGTGGTCAACCAATAAGGTTAATTGCTCAGGTAAAATTGATTAAATTGGGAGCAAATGGGAGAGCAAGTCACATACTAAGTGGGCCTGTTTAAGAGCAGGGACACTTGCTGTAGGGGGTTGGGATGGTGACTCTTGAGTTCCTCAGGGTGATCAGAGAACTATTTAGACTGCTGGTTCTTAGCACTTGGTTGTATTTCCTTGCCTTTTCTTTTGAGTTTTGGCCCACAGCAGGAGGTGATTGTCTCTTCCAATGCTACAAGCAATCTGAACTTATTTTCTGGCTCAATTGAGGGCCCAGCCCTGTTGTTACAGGCAGCTGAATTAGTTAGAAATATATAGCCAGCGAGACAGGATCAGGACCTAGAAGTGGCCAGTGCAGAAGCCCAGACACCTTCCAGCTATGGGGGAGCAGATACCTCTTGTTATGAGCCAGGCCTCAAGACAAAATATTTCTTTAAAATACAGATCAAGCAAGTAGCTTCATGCAAAGGTTTTGGAACATTTAGCAAATGCTTGATATTCAAATGGAAATAGGACAAATATAATCTTGCCCTGTTTGATGTCAAATGCACCAAGTTTGTAGGCTCACAACATTAAGTAATGAAGTCACAAACCAAAAGAAGTTCAAAAAGTATTCTGGGAAAAAAGAGAGTAGAATAGCCCTGGATTTTTAGGAATGCTCTTCAGTGTTTAAGTCACAGACCTATTGTCAGGGGTCATTTATGCAGCAAAGTCACAATGTGGCTACAGTGTGAGTCCCAAACTACAATCAACCTATAAGCTTGTAGTGAGTGGCTTAACTAATATTATTTAACCTGGGAAGAAGTCACCCAGAAAAAGTTTGTTGAAAGAGCAAAGGCATTTTGTGGGAACAATAGTCCAGTTGTTCTGGTCATTGAGTATGGTAATTGATGCCTATTTGGACTTCCTGGAGGAAGTAGTGGTAACTGTAGTACTGTCTGGAGCCGCTTCCGTCCCGCGGAATGAGGCACACGAACACTTTGTCTCTGCAGGCTCCTTTATTGACTGGGCTACAACCTCAATATACGTCCATCCTTGACGGCTTCTTCCGTGTTGTGCGTCGGGCACTTCCTATATTTGGGCTTATATAGCTAATGTTATCCAATCATGGGATTACACGTGGGGACAGGCGATTGGGCGGCAACAAGGAAGCAATCAATCATTACCATATATGGTGGGGACAGTAAGCCGAGCAAGAACCAGGAAGCAGGATGTGTGCGCCATCTTGGGCACACGATGGGCGGGGGAGCAGCGGAGGCGGCAGGCGGGTGCCATCTTATGAATATGCTCTCATGAATAACATGGCAGGCTCCCAACATCTCCCCCTTTCTTATTTACAAGCAAATGACAGCGAGGTCTTCCAAGTGACTACAGTGTTCTGTACCCCGCTGTGCATGGCTCTGAGGTCATCCCCCGGCACAGGTTGGCCGCCCCCGCGTCGGAAGGGACCTCCAAGCCTCATCCTTTTGCGCAGGGCTAGGGTAATTCGGATGAAACCTAGATGCATACAGACATATAGCCTGACATCTCTCTTCAAAAACCCCAAGAGTAGAATGTCATGCAGTACCATCTGGTCTCGCAACTTGGTGCCTCTTGCTGTCATTGTGTGGAATGGGGCCTGTCTTAGGTTGAGCAAGGTGGGGTACCTTGATCTTACCTGTCTTTGGCTCGCCCATTCAGCATCCTTATAACTGATGCTCTGCAACATGAAGGAGATATGCAGCCACCCGACCACCAGATGGGCCAGCCTCCGCCAGCTGCATAGCCGCCATGGCTGTAAATCTGACTTGTTGTTGAGTCTGCATCAAGCGATCAAGCAAGCATTTAACAACCACTAATCCAACCAGGATAGCAACAGCAATAAAAATCCAGGTAGTCAAACTGGGCCAGGAGAACCAAGAGGTGACATGATTCCATAAACCTTTTAGGACGTCCCTCAGGGTAGACAAATCAAACCTAACTGGGTTTAATTGAACCTTTTCTATCTCGTTTAACTCGTGATTAACAATCACAGACAGATTATGAAATTTTGGCAGATAAGTGTCCTGTAACCACGCGGTCATAGTTTTGTGGTTTCAGTCAAGTTGTTGCGAACGGGAGTGACACACACCCGGAAGGACAGCCAACTCTGGTCACAAAGTTGAGTGGCGACCTGCCACAGGGTATCGATCTCTTGTCCGATGAGTTGGATTTCTTCTTGTAGCCGGAGTATTGCTTGGCTGTTTAGCTCTATCTGTTGCCTTTGAGCCTTGATGGTCTCTCGTGTGGCGTTGCTCAGCCGATTGACTGCATCCATGGTCAGCGCGAGCTGCTCGGAGGTCCATGCCTGCAAAACAGCCTTCCCACTGCAGGGACAAACAGAGACGAGACCACCCCCGCTGCCTGCCACAACCAATCTTTTATCCCTCTTTTAGTTCTGGTTGATAAGGAAGAGAGCGAGATCTGCTGTGAAACTGATCCAACCCAGTCCTGGGCTTGCACGGGAATCCAAAGATCAGGGAGAGAACAGCATAGGCTGCTCATTTTTTTTTGTCTTTTTCGTTTTTATCAATACCAGGGATCAAACTCACGACTCCCTGCTTGCTAGGCAGGCGCTTATGCTGCTGAGCTAAATCTCCAGCCCCTTCCTGTCCCTCTTAGTGAGGGCGGGCACAGGAGAGGTATTTCCTTGCAATTTGATGCCCAAGCCTTTGCCAGGAGTATAGCCCATCCGTTTCATCATGTTTTGAGCCACCTCAGAACATCCCGTATTGGCCACACTCAAAACATTTTTTACTCTTTTGCATCTGCTGTTGTGTTGCTGGAGGGCGGGAGCCGAGGGTGGCATTAATTGAAGCACCCACCAGGGCTGCAAGACCTGAATTAGAGAGTGGTCCCCCCACTTCTCTACATAATTTGGTCCAGGTTTCTAAACTCTTGTTTTTATGTGGTGTAATGACTGCACGGCAGTCCTTAGTACACTGCTCAAAGACTAGCTGCTTTACCAGGGGCTGTGCCACACTGAGGTCGGGGAAGACCTTGCCGGCGGCATCTAGCATCCTGGCCACAAAGTCAGAGAATGGCTCTGGCATCCCTTGCACAATCTTAGTAAGACAGGCAGTATGTTCGCCTGCCTTGGCAAGTTGTTTCCAAGCGGCGATGGCACACTTAGTAATCTGATCATAAAGTGCCTGAGGATGTCGAATTTGATCCAGCACATGGGCTCCCTGGCCTAATAACATATCTTTGTTCCATCTAGCATTGCGCTCCCTAGCGTTCTTTTCGGCTTGCTCCCCACAATACTCGTCATTCCAAGCCTTCCAGTCCATAAATTGGCCTGGTGACAGGCATGCCTTTGCAAGCTGTGCTCAATCCGAGGGTGTCAAAGGGGTGGTTCCTATGTTATCCAAAAGAGCCTGCGTAAAGGGGGCGTTGGGGACGTAAGTGGAGACTGCCTCTTTTAACCCCTTAACCACTTTCATGTCCAGGGGCTGATAATAAGGCGCGCCAGCCTGGTCCTGGAGGACCGGGTAGAAGCTGGGAGCGTCATACGAGGCAAGGCCCCTACACAAGATGTCCCATAAATGGCCATGAAATGAGCGGCGCCCGGAGAACGGAAGTGTGGCAGGGAAGGGAGGAGGCGGCCCCCAACCACCAGGGGCATTCATTCCCTGGGGTGGTTCCCAGGGAGGGGCCGACGGGACTAACCCCGCCTCGCCAGGGGTGCGCATTTCCTGCAGATCACTCTCCACCCTCTCGAGCTCCTCCCCTAGGCTCTCCATCAACCCTTCACACAAGGCTCCAGCAGGTTTATGAACTTTCTGCCCTGTATTGCGATGTGGGCCTATCTTACTGTCAGTTTCCTCCTCTGGGCCCACCTTAGGGTCTTCCCCCTCTGAATCTGAATGGCTCAGTGAGCCAACCTCTGAGGCCTCCCTGGAGCTCTCCGAGCGCGCCTGCTCGAAAGCGTGGCATGCCTCTTTGAGTCCCTGGGCTGCGCCTACCATACTTTCGGTTCTGAGACATGCACGAACCATCTCCCAAATGGGGCGAACCATGGGGTCAACACCCATCCCTTGTTCCTCAGCAAACTGAATATCACATCCTAACTTCTCCCAGGAGGGTAAAGTGAGGGATCCAGTGGGCAGAAACCATGGGGCCAAACCATCGATACATTCAAAAAACTGCAGCACCGTTTGCTTATCTATCCCAATCCCTCGCGCCTTAAGCAACAACCACAGCGATAAGGCGAGGGGGCCGCAGTTAACATTGCCCATCTCATCAAATATAGAAAGCCCCGAGGCGCTATAGCCAGCAGGGGCCTGCCCTTCTTTTTCGGGCAAAATCGACCCTAACATGGGGTCGACTAACAAATCCCTTAAAGTGCGTCCACCAAGGGCCTGGTTGAGCCTCCACTCACCCGCAGGTACGTACCATCTCTCAACGCAGTCACAGGAGTCGCAGAAGGCACGGGAATGGTTTCAAGTCCCCATACGGGCCACCAGCTGTCCGGAGCCGCTTCCGTCCCGCGGAATGAGGCACACGAACACTTTGTCTCTGCAGGCTCCTTTATTGACTGGGCTACAACCTCAATATACGTCCATTCTTGATGGCTTCTTCCGTGTTGTGCGTCGGGCACTTCCTATACTTGGGCTTATATAGCTAATGTTATCCAATCATGGGATTACACGTGGGGACAGGCGATTGGGCGGCAACAAGGAAGCAATCAATCATTACCATATATGGCGGGGACAGTAAGCCGAGCAAGAACCAGGAAGCAGGATGTGTGCGCCATCTTGGGCACACGATGGGCGGGGGAGCAGCGGAGGCGGCAGGCAGGTGCCATCTTATGAATATGCTCTCATGAATAACATGGCAGGCTCCCAACATAGTACATTTCAAGCTATTCTTTTTCTCTTCAGAAGGCATGTAGACATGGTCACTGCATCTTCACATTTATGTCTGGCTTTCTTCAGCTGACCCTGTAGAGGGATTGTTGTGTTTAGTTTTTTATGTTGACTTCTTTGAGGTTCCAATTCCTCTCTGACTGTATATCAATTTTTCTCTATTTTGACCTCCTGTAGTAAAATCACAATACCATTTGACTGGATAATATGATGCTTATACATTTAATAAAATACTATTCAATAGAGGCCAGGGGTTTAGCTCAGCAGGCAGAAGCACCTGCGTGGGAAATGATAAGTTGTGAGTTTGATCCCCCGTACTTAAAAAAAAAAAAAAAAACAGAGTTTTAAACTGCGGAGAAAGAAAATAGCTTTATTTGTGAAGATGTATATCAACAAGAGTTTTAATTAAATATGTCAATGGTAAATTAAACATTGGTAATAGTCATATATAGAATCTGAAAATGTTGGGCTGGGTTTTGAGCTTAGTGGTCAAAGTAATGTTCGAAAGCCTTTGCATGAAGCTACGTGCTTGCTCTGAGTTTAAGATTTCGATGAGTTTTTGGACCTCTTCATTCTACCAAATTGCATATTTATTGGAGGAAGGAGGTCACTGTTGTGCTATAGCACAATAGGTACCATTCCTAACTCTGTATTTGTCACAGCTGCCAGGATGCCACTACATGGCCAGCTGTCCACTGCAACATCATTCCATAATTGCCAATTTAGGTCAGCTTTCATTCAACTCTATTATTTTTGTTTTCCTTTAGTAGTCTTTCTCTCTCCCTTGGTTTTTTACTTTTTTTTATTTTTATTTTTTTTTGTTTGTTTTTAAAGATGTAGTCTCACTTTGTAGTTTTGGCTGGCCTTTCACTCACTGTGTAGGTTAGACTGTCCTTGAATACATGGCATTCTCTTGTTTCAGCCTCTTTAATGCTGTGGAAAAGAGGTGGGCATCATAACACATGGTATTGGTCCTTTTCTTCCCTCCTTTTCAACATTATTCTTTCATTTCAGGGGCACTGACATTTAATCCAGAGGTTTGCTTCTGTCAGTAATCTTTCTGCTTCTTGAGGTGAGTTTGTGAACAACAGTATAGGAATCCAAGCATCCAGAGGACAAATTTGGAATTTAAATATTTGAGCTCCAAAACACTTTTATACAGACCTCCTTCCCCATTTCAGAATCTAAACAATTGGCTCTGAACTGGAAAGTTAGGCATTTTTAAAAGAGAGAATCACAGAAGACATCCCATTGGAAACAGTTTAGTAGAATCTTAAATTAATTTTTGGTTGACACTCGTATCCTGCTTCTTTTTTTTTTAACAGGTTACTTTTTTACTTGGGTATAGCTCCGTTTGCTTTTCTCATGGAACTTATACCCTGAGTGATTTTTCATTTTCCTGGGTCAAATACAGGGCACTAGATAAATGCAGGGTGCAAGATGGCATCTGTTATGCCAAGCTACAATGCAGCTGAGCTACAGTGCCAAGCCTCAATAATTTCTAGTGTCAAAAGCACATAATGTTTGAATATTTCACTGTTTATGATGTTCATCCTTGTAGTAAAGCATGATCTATAGTCAGGACAAGTGAATCTCACCAGGACTCTCATTGCTTTCCACTGGTTTTTTTCTCATCATCCTTAAACACAATACTCTCTGAATTCTTAATACTAATGCTCACATTTGATTCGTAATCCTACCTGTGACATCTCCTTTTTCTGCAGTAATCTATCCTGGCATCCCAGGCTCATAAGAGATAGAAACACATCTTCTGATTCCCTACACTCCAATGATGTT